AAAGAACGAAACAAACAATTTCCAATTCATCTTTGCGTTCCGGATTCTCAGGTCTCCTATAGCGCTTATGCCCTCTAATAGGTGGAGCTGAAGAAAATGATGCCCCATCCAATTATAATTCGGGACATATTGGCAATTTGCCAAAGTCGATGCTTAAGTCTAAACAAAAGGTTACAATCTCGGAATAAATATACAGATATTATTCAGATGAAAAAACATTCTCTAAAAAGCTGGAATTAAAAGGCACTAATCATAGAGGAAAGAAGAAAAATTACTGGAGTAATAAAACATTGATCGTTAAAAAAAAATTCACAAAAAATTTCAGTAGACTAATTTAGTAAAATATATTGATGAATGCTTGACCAGGTCAAAAGGCTACCTTTTTACTGATTTCTGCTTTCATCACACTATTTTGGTTATTAGATGTGTTGCCCCTTATATTATTGACCTATCACCTTTTACCATTATATCACGTTTTAACACTTCATCTTTGACTCCTCTATGAGAAGTTATTTTTCCTTATTGCATTTTTAAGTTTTAAAATCCATAAACAAAACAAATTTACATATTTACCGTTTGCTATTTTAGATGCTGTTGAGAAAAAGAAAAAAGGGTACAGTTCAAAACTGGTCATCCAGGAACAGTACTTATAATTATATTTCACTTAAAAACTTTTAAATTCTTGACCGAGTGTATCCGTGTAATGCTTTTTTAGACCCAAAGTGGTAATTCACTTATGTTTGTCATATACATCCATATATCACTTGTATACACGGAAAATGGCGCGCGGCAGTCATTTGAAAACGTTTTCACTAGCGTTGCGTGTGATACCCCTAAAGCAGAAAAGTACTAATATAACAAAGTTCTGCTCAGAATTGCTGCTTTTCAGCAGTGTACGCACTTATCGATTTTAAAACTGATAGGGCATGAATGGCCAAAAACTCCCGAGCTTTTCCAGTTGCAAGTAAATGCTAAAAGGCTTTAAATCGATGAAAACATAAAATTACTGAGAAAGAAAAAGACGAAGACGTAAAAATATACATCAACGAATATTGTCTAATTGCTTCTTCCGAAACCAAAAAACTTTACAGATGCATAAATATAGTGTATATAAATATACAAATATACAATTGATCCTGGTCAGCTGAAACAAACCTTGTTATTGCTGAGAGTTAAAAAAAGAAAGCTGTTATGGCGAACCCGTGTTTCTTAACACGAAAGTTATAAAAAATTGAACATAATTTGTGCGCCGTTATTCCTACGGTTGTGGCGTCCGTGTTTGACTTTTTTTTTTTCTTTGTTTTGTTCTGCTTTTTTCTCACCTTTTTTTTTTTTACTGGTGGAACGATGTTCATCTTTTTTTTTCGTGGTTTAAATTAATTTTTTTTTCTTCTTCAGGAGGTTTTGTTTTTATTCTTATCTCTTTAGCAGTATGG